CACCCGCACCAGCACCAGCACCGGCACCTGCACCAGCACCGGCACCAGCACCGGCACCTGCACCAGCACCGGCATCGGCACCTCCATGTACCTGCACCTCCACCTGCACCGGCACCAGCACCTCCACATACCTGCTCACCCATCCACACCTGCACCTGCACCCACAGAGGCACCAGCAGCAGAACCCACACCAGTACCTGCACCCCCACCGGCACCAGCACCTCCACACACGTCCTCCCCCACTTGCACCCGCACTCACACCCGCACCTGCACCCTCTCCTCCATGCATTGGCACTAGCATCCACACCTGCACCGACACCAGCACTGGCACCTGCACCGGCACCCACAAGTGCATTGGCCTCTGCACGCACCAGGTCCGGCACCAGCACCCTCACCCGCATTGGCACTGGCACCCGCACCAGCACCTGCACCAGCACTGGCACTGGCACCAGCACCCTCACCTGCACCAGCGTCTGCACCAGCACCCACACTCACACTCACACCCATACCAGTACTGCCCACTGCACCCCCCACACCCACACCGGCACCGACACCAGCACTGGCCACTGCACTGACACCAGCACCTACACCCGCAGCAGCACCTGGACCTACACTCGCACTGGCCACCGCATTCACTCGCACCGGCCACCGCATTCACTCGCACCAGCACCAGTACCCACACTGGTCACCACATCCCCACGCCCGCACCAGCCACGGCACACACCAGCACACTGACACACTGACACACAACCCACAGCAGCACTCCCCAACGCACACCCTGCACAGGCACACCGAGACACCGGCACACCCGGCACAGCCAGGGTATGCACCAGCCATGGCGCACACCGCACACCCGCACCGGCGTACACCAGCACATTGACATACACCCCACACCAGCACATAGCACACCAAGACAGCAACACATTGACACGCCAACACCCCCCCTGCACTAACACACTGATGCACCAACACACACACACACCCTGCACCAACGCACCGCCACGCAGCACCCGGCACAGGGCATACCACCCACACCCTACAATGACACGTGGCACACTGACACACACCCTGCACCAACACACCGACACACACCCCGCACGCACAAACAGCACGCAACTTGCACCAACGCATGGCACGCAGACGCAGCAACACACGCCCCACACCGTTACACACCCTGTTGCAACACACCAGCACACTCCTTGCATTGAAACACCCCATGCAGCGACACACCGATACCAACAGGCACCTTGCACTAACGCACGGCACGGTGACACGCTGACACGCCAACACCCGCCCTGTACCAGCATACTGACAGGCCAACAGACGCCCTGTGCTGACACACGCCACACTGACACACACCCCGCGCCGACATACTGGCACACTGACATACAACCTGCACCAACACCCCGCCCTGACACATCAGCACGCACCCCGCACTGGCACACAGAGACACCGACACACGCACCCATGCACACTCCCCCAACGGTTGCACACCCGCACGTACACTCCCCTACTTGCACGTGCACGC